GGCGTTTAAATGCGATTGGATTAGGGAACTTTTCAGTGGTGTCCATCTGCCATGAGACATGATGGTTTAATAATAACCACTGGCCTGTCTTCCCTGCCGCTCCCACTCCCCTTTGGGGGCTTACGTGCAGGAGTAATCCGACTCGTTAAGCCATGCCTCTCCGACTGCTTCTCAAACATGAGCTCGCTGCGGGATTTAATGGTGAAATATTCCTCCGCTTTGACGATGTAACCGACCGAGCTAGAACGCCGGATCAAGAAGCCATCCTGCGGCGTGGGGTTGCTCTCCTCTGGCTTGGACATGTGCAGCAGGCGAGGAAGGGTGTCAAGGAACAACTGCGGAGAGGAGAAGGAAAAGGGGAAAGTGATTTTTCAACGTCCCAGTCGGGGCGGTAGCTTAAAGATCTCCTGATGGTGTCCCATCCAAGTCTCAAAATAAAGCCAAGTGGATTAGATGCAGCCACCCAGATGCGGGTACCAGAACGGGCCCTTTCAGAGCTACACAACACAGAAAGAATGGAAGTGTTTGTCCCAAAGGTGCTTTGTTTTTTTCTCAAGAGGAAACTGGAGTTTCTTGTTATGCTTTGAAGACATTTCGCTTCTCATCCAAGAAGCTTCTTCCGCTCTGACCGGATGGAGGGGAATGGAAGGATTTATACTCCTTGCAGACAGCTGGTCATTTGCATCCTTTTAGAGAGTTGTTGAGGCCACTTGGAGTCCCAATGGTGCTTTTTTTCAAGAGGCAACTAGACTTTCTGTTTTTTCTTTGGAGACATTTCACTTCTCATCCGAGAAGCTTCTTCAGCTCTGACAGGATGGTGGGGAATGGAAGGATTTTTACTCCTTGCAGACAGCTGGTCATTTGCATCCTTTCAGAGGGTCGTTAAGGCCACTTAGAGGTAGTAGTGCAAAGCCTGAGGACACAGATAAAGCTCCAAGTGGCAAAGTCCTATTTTTGGACAGAGAGGACTGCTGGCTTGAAAAAGGAGCCAAAGAGGCCATCGATAGCAAAACTGAACAGCCCCCTCTCTCAAAAGAGGGTGGGGGATATGACATCATCTCTCTCCAATCTACAACACAGTCCTCTCTCTCAGCAGTTACGAGAAGGCTCCACACCCATTTGCATCACTCAGGTGGCCCTAAGGATACAGACGAACCTCCAAGTGGCCTCAACAACCATCTAAAAGGATGCAAATGACCCTAGCTGTCTGCAAGGAGTATAAATCCTTCCATTCCCCTCCATCCAGTAAGAGCTGAAGAAGCTTCTTGGATGAAAAGCAAAATGTCTTCAAAAGAAAAAAAAACAAAGAAAGTCCGGTTGCCTCTTGGGACAAAAAAGCACCTTTGGGACAACTGTGACCTGGATGACTGAGAATCTCTCCAGACAATGGAATTGTTTGAGGTCTATGGAGATTCTCAGCCACCTGGGTCATGGCTTTGTCCCAAAGTTGCTTTTTCAAAAGGCAACTGGACTTTCTTGGGGGGTTTTTTTTTCTGGAAGAGGTGTCACTTCTCATCCGAGAAGCATTCAGTCAGAACTGAGGAGGCTTCTTGGATGAGAAGCAAAACCTCTTCCAGAAAAAAACAACAACCCAAGAAAGTCCAGTTGCCTTTTGAAAAAGCAACTTTGGGACAAAACCATGACCTGGAGGACTGTGGGAAGTGGGACCTGTCAGCAGTTGTAATAGTATATGAGAAAGACCTTTGGGGAACAGGGTCGAGAGACGCCATCAAGGGAATGGTAGTGTCATGCCCCTGTCAGAATCTGACTTGGAGGAGGAAGCTGAGCAGCTGACAGGGAGTAGGAGTGTGACTCCATTGGCTGTGGGAGAAACTGGGGAAGGGCAAAGTCCAGCTGGACAGAGCAGGGGAGAGGTAGAAGAAGGGAGAGGGAATTCAGAGAAAGACCCAGGCCCACCCCCTCTTCATCCTAGGGCACGCAGGGAAGAACGGAGAAGGGAGCAACATGAGTTGCGTGGCTTACAGGGGAGGAAAGGGCCCTGATTCCCTTCATTAGCTGCAGCTGGGAGCACAGTGTATAACAAAGGCAAGCTATGTGCAGCAAACTGTTGGGATCAAAAGTGACTTTATCTTGTATCGTAGTGGCTTATCTGTGTTCCTGACGTCTTCCCAACTGTGTGGAGTTATTGCCGTGCATTCAAGTCTGGAATTCTTGCTTGTGCCCTGCCGAACTAATTACTTCAGTTTGGCTTTTTTGGACTTTAAGTTACAGTTTGTGTTGCTTATGTTTTGGACTGAATTCTCTGCAGCCAAAGGCTGTTCCTGGGGGAGTTTTTCTCCAGCCAGAAGGTAACCTGGACATTGAGGACAAAATTGGAGATAATGAAGGGATTCTTATGGCTTATCTGACTGTGTTGCCTTTGTGCCATGCCACGGTCATCACAGGTTAGATAAGAGACTCCTTAGCCTGCAGCTGCATAATAGGCAGGGCAAGAGGCTTACAAGGGACACTCCCTAGTTTCTTGGGATGTAAAGGAGACGGGAGAAAAATTCTGTTGATTGCAAAAATCTGTTAATGGAGCTTCATAATCAAGTGGGATTAGCTCATCTGGTTGTATTTCCTGTCTGAGTTCACTCTGATAAACCAGGTTTTGTAAAGTGATGGGGAACCTAGAAAACGGGTTAATTCAGGCCCTGCTTCAAACAGATTGCCTGAATAGAGTTTCTGAACTTACTGGAGACAAAACATGTTTATTTCTTTTTATTTCGCGGGAATATTGACTTGGGAAAATTAATCCTCGATTAACGAGCACAATTAACTCCAACATTTCTGTTTCTAAGCAGGACAGTTGTTAGGTGGGTTTTGTCCCATTTTACGACCTTTCCTGCAAGGCATTAAGTGAATCGCTGGTCGCACGCGTGAAAAATCCATCACAAATCACTTTCTTCAGTGCCGTTAGAACTTTGAACAGCTATTCCACTGATTTTTTTTAATTTCATTTAGAAAACTAGCCGATAGCTTAGCGTTGCCTGGGTATTTGTTTATCCTAATCCTGTATTAGACAGGAAAACCCTTGATTTCGGCGACAATTAAATTGCTTACAAATGTTTTCCCTGTTCCCCGTTGAAAATGTCCAGAACAAACGTAATTTCTAATGTTGGATTTTCCCTCTTACCAGAGAGAGCCTCCTTGTGGAGTACTGTGGAACTGTTACCATGGCAACTCCACAGCGCTGTACAGTAGAAGCCATTTGAAGGCAGTATGGTAGAAGCCATTTGAAGGCACAACAGGCTGTATCTTAAGAACATATAACCCGAGGGGTGTTAGGGATGTCTTACCCCACCAATATTTGTTTCCAGAGAGTAAGTAATCTGTGTATTGAGTTTGGCTGAAATTGCTTGAGGCGTTCCAGGGTTATGCTGGAACACACACACAGAGAGCCATTTTTTATATATATAGAAAATTTCTACGGCCGCCAACTTGCACGTGCCGACGCAAGGCAGTGGTTCAAGGAATGGTTGCAATTCGAGGGTTATCTATATTTTAGATCGTTGCTTCCAGCTTACCTCTTTGGTCCATTCAGACAAAACATGGGTACTGGGGGTCCGAAAATGAATGTTGAGCTCCACAGTACACACCACCACAACTGCAGTCACGAGAAGCATGACGAAGAGCAGGTACCTATTAACCGCATACATGACCATTTACAAAATAGCAATAGCACTTAGATTTATATACCGCTTCACAGTGCTTTACGGTCCACTCTAAGCAGTTTGCAGAGTCAGCCTCTTGCCCTCAACAATCTGGGTCCTCATTTTATCCACCTCGGAAGGATGGAAGGCTGAGTCAACCTTGAGCCAGTCAGGATCAAACTTCAGACTGTGGGCAGAGTTAGCTTGCAATACTGCATTCTAACCACTGTTCCACCATGGGAGGGAGGGAGGGAGGGAGGGAGGGAGGGAGGGAAGGAAGGAA